TCCCAGCCGAGGTCGGTGGGGTTTTTCTGATGCATAAAAATCTCTGGTTTCGTCTTCCTACGGAAGGGAAGTAAAGCCGTTGGTCCTGGCCAATGTGTGTTGAGTGGGTCCGATATCCTACGCAGGTGTGGAAGCTGCCTTCTTGCACATTCGATTGCCGTCAATGGATGGTCCGTCGGTGATTGGCACTAGGTTGCGAAACAAAGTTCGACGTTAAATAAAGGAATGAAGAAGAAGAAGAAAAAAAAGAAGAAGAAATTAAGAAGGAAAAGAAGAAGAATTGAGTGGTCCTTCTCATTGTTCTTCATCAGCAGTCCTTTCGGTCGATGTGTGGCCGACTTTGGAAGGCAATCGTTTCGAGATGAGTGTGTGAGTGAAGTGCTCTGCTCCCCGTCGGCGATAGTACCATACAATAAAACCACTGGTAACGGAATCCATTCTGACAAGGAATCAAAAATATCTGCAAATGACAGGATGACAAGCGATCTACGCGGTGAACGATAACGCTTTGTCAGAAATGGAAAGTAATAATGATGTAATCTTCTTCCTTTTTTCATGACAAACTGCCTTTGCCATAAAGCTCGCTCGGGCCGGTAGAATGAAACCACCAAATTGTATGATAGCTACTTCTCGAAGTAAAGCCGGAGATGATGCACGTGTTTTAAAGGGATTTTTTTTTTGTCTATTCTCAATTCTGATCGATCTATGTCTTCAACCATGTATTGCAACAAAGCAGGCAAGCAATATTTCATTATACTTCTACCACTCCGATCGAGTGGTGTTGCAGAGAGAGTTTGTCGTGGTCAGGGGTTGAAACTGTTGACGTTTTTTACTACACTCGCTTCGTTGTCGTGCGCGACAGTTCTGTTTGAATTCGAACTCTCATGCTCTACCGTCGGCTCGCTGGCACAACACAAACGGTATAATAAAATTCGAGCAAAAAGAAAATTATCAAATAACTATCATATGACATGTGTGATTTCGTTCTAATTCCTCAATTTGGTGTAAATTATACCATTTCGCATCAGAAATTCTATTACTAGGACATCGTTGCTTGCTATTTTCCGAATTCACACAAGCACCACATTAGTAGCTCTTATTATCTCTCAGTTATTATGAGAAAAACTAAAATACATACATTCGTGACGGTCTTCGGCGAAAATGTCGTATGACAGTATGATCAACTCAACGGCGCCGGTGGTGTAGTGGTAAGCGTGATTGCCTCTCACCCTAGCAGGCCTGGGTTCAATCCCAGTCGGCGCCGCCGGGATGTTCTGAGGCATAATATCTCTGATCACGCCTTCCTTCGGAAGGGAAGTAAAGCCGTTGGTCTCCGGTTCATGAGTTGATGGGTCGATAGGTAGGGTCCAGGTGTGGGAGCTGCCTTCCTGGCACGTCGGTAGCATTGGTGCTCAGCACGGAAAACAAGATCGACGGAAAAAAAAACAAACCAAAGGAAAAAAAAAGTATGATTTCAATTGGCTTGAAAAGTTCAGTCTGGTCCAACTTTTTTCAATTCAAGTTAGTTGATCAAATCAGTTGAATGGCATGGTTTACACGTTCAATTCACGTTCAAGTCAGTTGATTTCAACTGACTTGATCAATTGACTTGCCCTGTCTAAAACCAGCTTAAACGTAGCAAACAAGGCACACGTGTAACATTTTTTGTACCAGTGTATGCTACTTCGGCAAACAACAATGCCGAGTGTTTATGATTTCGGCAAACACCAGAGCCGAGTGATTTGGATTTTGGAAAACACGCTTGCTGCTCGTATGAATTTTATCGAGGCGATTTATGAAAGATTATCTTCTTGCACGAGGTAGCTTTATAACGCCTTTAGCATCACACAAGCAACACACTTCGATCGAAATAAGCTGCTGCAACTTGATTGTGACTGGAATAAGTGGCACACAAGTAACCACAATTGTTCAGTGACATGTGTGCTGATAGCGCATCCATTTTCAAGCGTTGATCGAGGTGTTGTTTAAGCACTTTTTTGGTCAACATTTTTTTTCGATGGGTAAATCTAAAAAAATCATTTAGTTTTCTTTTGCTAAAAACTATAACGCAATGTTATGAATCTTATGAGCATTGATCAAAAATTAAAAACACTTTAAATTTCCAAAACGCCTCATACACACTTAGAAATACCTAATTTTAAAAGTGACGGAATCCATCTTTGAAATAAAGGATGAGATGTAAACAAACATGTCATGTAAAATTAAATGCTCCGAGACTGAAAAGTTTGTTACTCGGCGAAAAGTACGTTCGATTGAGCTGAATTTCGCGTCCATTATTACTCAATTTTATGTCAGAATTGACGCTCGTATATGTCAGTCTCAGAGCACCTAAATTTACATGAATTTTTCTAAGTGTGTAGTTACTGCTTCACTTGCTCAGCACTGCCATAGCCTGCGCGCTGAAGCGTTAATAACGCTACCACATCGTAGCTCATGCTTCATTATTATGTGCATAGATGCACTATTCATGTTTTATGGCACAATAAATTATTAACCATGTGCAAAGCGCACATTTGCGCTTCGAACTTTGTGCCGTTTTCGTTCGATTCGAAAACTTGTCCTCCCGTTCCGTTGTGTCGCTGGGCAGAGTTGCGATGCAGCAGGGCTCCGGGATGTTCTCTCGGATCGGATCCAGTCATCCAGTAATAACGAATAACGTTTCTGAGTAAACACACAGTTTTCCGAGTTTCTTCAAGAAACCCCCACAACCCACAACTGGGGGCGGAATTGCACTCTCAATTCAGCTTATCATCTTCGTTCCATCGTGTGTGTGACATCATCGCACCGACAGACGGACAAACTTACGCCTTCCAAATGTGTGCACTGTGGAAACGAAAACACACATCGGACTGTACTGTTGTTTATAGTTACATTTTTCACATTTTCTATTTTTCCTACACATTTTCTACACATTTCCCACACCTCGATTCACGGGAAAAATGAACACTATTATGTCGGTGGGTGAATGTTGCGAATACATATAAAGTTTGTGATTAGGGGTTGTTCATAAACTACGGTCCAAACAAATTTAAAAAAATGGACGATTGCCTGGGAAGGGAGAGCCTTAAATCTCTCAAAATCGGTTTACGTAGTTTATGAACAGCACCTTGTATTTACTCTCACGAGACATCTTCACGCGCCAATCCACCGGCAGTGAGCGGAACTGCGATTGCCCCAGACTAGAATGTCCCTTCCGCACGAATGTGACCGCCAAGCTTCATCCGCCGGGGCTGCTGTGATTCTGCCAGAAAGAGATAGAAGCGTAAGCAGTCATTCTTTTGAGTTTTAAATTATTCCAATGTATTAACATATAAATTGCATTTTATGTGCATTCGCAGCGTGGCCCTACTGGAAGAACATGAAAACGACACGAACGGCAAGGGCCGGAACCCGCAGGGCAATAGAAATAACGCACCACGAGATCCATCGAACACGTTACTGCTGATGGGACGTTTGCTGATGATAGCTGCATGGGACGGATATGGGAATACGGCAAATTGTCAAGTTATGACGGGTTGATCCCAGAGGCAATGATGTCAATGCCAGTAGTGATGGAACGAATGAAAGATTGTCATAGGCACTGAAGCTGGTTTTGATAAGAAATTAAATTTCCCTTCACACGCTTTGAGTGATGAGTGCCCTCCGCATTGAGTTAATCGGATAATGGAACCGTTTCAAGGTCCTAGGAGTTGATCAAGTTCAGTACCGGGACTTCCTAAGCTCAGACGGTAAAGGCAGAGTTCTTAGGCGTCGGCTCTCAACTAAGTGTTCTTTAAGCACTTCCACAGTTGTAAGTTGAGAGCTGTAGCATACCCAGGGAAGTCGAGAAATGTTTGAATTTGAAAAATTCCTAGACCGGATCGGGAACCGAACCCAACCGCCTCCAGCATGGTCTTGCTGTATAGCTGCACCTTTACCAACTGAGTTAAGGGCCCCTACAAAACATGGGCATCCATGCTTTGCAAATACATAAATAAAATATCTGGAGGTAATACCTTCATGGCAAAACAAATCAATTCAGCTGCAGATTCACGTAATTAAATCCGAACAAAGCAACAGTTTACTTTCGCTTCCACGGTCAACAAAGAATTTCCCAGGCATCACCAGCCTTTGCCGAAACAAAAGCTCGTGAAAACTCTGCAAGGAAGATAATTCTGCCTAAAATTCGTCTACAGGCGATTTTTCAACATCCGCCCAGCCCCGTACCTTCTTCAGTAAGACGACCGGAAAGTTGAGTGATGATGAAGCTTCTTCGAACGGTCCTTCGTGAGAGCACCTTTATTTAACGCATCCTTCCGAGTTTTTGTGAAACAACCCCTGCTCCCCAGCAGCTAAACCACCCCCCCCCCCCTTCCCCACCCATCCCATCAGTCGCCGGCATCTTTCTTTATTATCATTGTTATCCTCCTCCTCCTCCTCCTCCTCCTCCTCCTCCTCGGGCGAAGGCACTCGGTCGACGGCGGACTACTATAGGTACTGGTTTTGTCTCCGGTACAATGGATGCTTCAATTTTCAACACCTACCTGGTTGCCTTGGAGGATTGCAGTGTTTTTAATTTCCGGCTTTTGCACCCCACCGCCACCACCAATGTCTGAGCTTCGAATGATTTCGAGTCAGGGACGGAGGCGTCTTGACGAAAAGGATGTTTTCTAACGAGGAGAACAGATTTTTTTTATCGAAATAAAAAAATCAGACTCTCTCGACTGCTACCGTGTGATAGCAGATCTTTGCAGAGCCATCGATGAAGCCATTCATGCGGGTCGTTTGAACAACGCAGAAAGCAGTGCATGGATTTGCAAATTAGTTTCGATTCGTTGCAAACATGAGGTCGTGCAACCTTTCAATCCATTTCCATCGTCGCGCCATCGAAACCTTTAACCAATTGGCACTGGCGGCAATTTCAATTGCAAATTTTCTGCCAGCAACTTGATTCGATGGCTCGATGCCGTAGTTCACCGACTGGCCAGTGCAGTTTTCTGCATCGTTTCGAAACGTTTACAAGTGCTCGATTTTGCACCGTCGTCAGTTGAACCAACCATGGCGGAACTGGCAATGATGGATCCCCGCGGGATGAACCTATGGGAGGAGGAGCCAGAGCTGTGTAGTCCCGTGGCCGATTACTACCGGGACAAGGTGGTCCTGCTGACCGGGGCAACCGGGTTCCTCGGCAAACTGTATATGAGCAAGTTGGTTCGATGTGGCGTGAAGGAGTTGATAGTGCTGGTGCGGGAGAAGAAGGGACTCCAACCGAAGGAACGAATCGAGAAGATGATCGAGCAGGAGAGGGTGTTGCAGGTTTTTCGGAAGAATTTGGACAATTGCCGGCGGAAGATTACCGTTATCCGGGGAGACGTGGAAGCCGATGGCGTTGGGTTGAGTGACGAGGACGCTGAATATGTGAGGGAGCGAACGGAAATTGTGCTGCATGCAGCAGCAGACGTGAAATTTGATCAGGCACTGAGCAGGATAATAGTGACCAACGTGAAGGGGACGCTGGAGGTGTTGAATCTTTGCGTGAGTTTGCGAAAATTGGAACTGATGATCTACATTTCGACGGCGTATGCTAACTGCATCCACATGACGGCGTACGAGAGGTTCTACGATCCACCAATGGATCCGTTAAAGATGCTGGAATTAATGAAACATGTTGACGAAGAGCAGTCCACGTTTCTGACGCCAATGATCATCCGACCATGGCCAAATTCCTACACCTACGTTAAGGCGCTGGCCGAACATTTGGTGAAGATGTATTTCGATCGGCTGAACATCGTCATCATCCGACCGTCAATTGGTGAGTTGAGTGGCCCTTCTTCTTATTCGTCTTCTTCGCATTTTAAGCTTATTGCTTATCGAGTTAGTTTATTGCGTGCTCTCAACATAAGTGTTCTATATGCACTTCCACAGTTATTAATTGAGAGCTTTCGATGCCTGTTCCATTGTTGCATTAGTTTCATTGTGTGGCACGTACAGTCATACGCTATACCCAGGGAAGTCGAGAAATTTTCCAACTCGGAAAATTCCTAGACCGGACCGGTAATCAAACCCAGCCACCTACAGCATGGTCTTGCTTTGAGATGTGCCTTTACCGACTGAGCTATGGGAGGCTCTATTTATATTATTCATTCATCACAAATTTTAATTCCATGGAAGGCTAGAACATAGATTTTGTCAGATATAGGCAATCAAAACCATGACAATTTATTTCAAATTTTTGCCAGTCACAAGAGCCAACAATTGGAGCACTAGTGCTATAACTGGCACGCTTACCCTATTTTGCCAGGGGAAGTGAGTGTCAGACTGGAAAGTTCTAACGTTAGGATTTCGTAAATTGTATTGCCAAGTGTTTTGTATTCAATCTGCGAAAAGGCTAAAAACGAGTCAGCTATCGATGTTAAGTATTAATTCCCGCGAAACATGAGCAAAGAATCTATCATTAATGGGGTTGTCATTGCCGAGTTTGTTTGCTGAAAACCAATGTTTCAATAATGACAAATTTAACACCGGTAATTCCCGTAAAGAATCGGTTTATGGAAAATGCTACTATAATCAACAAATATGGAATATTTCTTCAATAGGTTATACATCCAAAACTACGGAGTGCTCTTAGCATATGCCGAGTCACGAACAAATCCCCTAATTACTCGTTTTTGTTTTTAAGGTTAATATAATAATGGTGATACAATAATGATCAACACTTTAAAGTTCGGTAGCCCTATATTTTTCATATATTTCATAAAAGACTTGATGATTACTTGGGATGGGAGAAAATTGGCTCTAAGCATATTAATTAAAACCTTTTCAAGAGACATGTCTCCTTTAGTTCAAAGGGGAGTTCCTTTTAAAACTAAATTTTTAATCAAACATGAGGTCAGTGATGGCATAATCCTTACTCAAATGATTTTGTTTCGATCTCAAGCTCCTTTGATATTGCTAGACTATTCAGAACCAGAGTCAATGTTATAATAAGAGTCCCGCCAAGAGTGAAGCCAGAAGTACCAAACAAGTAAAGTAAATAAACATTATTGTTCCCACAGCCAGTAAACAACAAGTATTGCATTCATGACTGACAATATTTTAGTTATTTTAGATGAAAACCATTTCTTCGTTTTATTTAGTACATTGTGGTATTTAAAAGTTATACCAAGCACTTGTTTGAACATTTTTCAGGTTCTATAATTGTTTTTGTCTCCCAGAAGCTCCGTTATCGACATGAAATTTTCCACTTCTGAATGAAAGTCATCCGATGCTAACGCAAAAAATCTGGTTGCCATTTACTCTGACGAAAAATAAATCTCAAACAGTGCTGCTTGTTCGCAATATTTTCTCTTGGCAGGACTCTTATTATAACATCGACTCTGTTCAGAACATGTAAAATTGTATCTACGAGTTGATTTACCACAAAAATTATTCCGTTGCACATCGTTTTCTTGGAAAGAGAAGCATGGTTTGCTATCTCTCTTTACTCTTCACATATGGCAGACTCGAAATTACTGCTACCAGCAGTGAAGGAAGTTTCGGTTCGTAATTGGTTGTATAGGAAAAATTTTGAAGCTCAAAATCACCACAGTTTGGTGAGAATTGTAGTTGGTGAGTTTTGATAGCATTATCTAAGAGCATCCGTATCACAGCTTGAGTTAGGATTGGGCGATCTTCAAGGAAACATCGATCTTGACGAATCGATCTTATATTTGGCTCTAGAATCGATCCACTGATTAAATCGGTACCACAAAATCGATCTTTCGTAGATCGTTCTTTTGATTTTTTTTAAACCGGGGGTAATACCCCTCACCATCCCTCTCCAACGGAGGAGTTTGGTAAAGAGAGATGATCAAACCGATGTGTACCTTCCTAAATTTGTCCTTGCTCGCTTTCTACTCTCTATATACAATTTTCACACTGCCGTACTCTAACGAAACTATCAATTCTATACTTTCATCTCCTCATCTATCGTATCAAAATTACCACTTTAGTCTGGTTTTTGAAATGAGCATCTTCAACTATGTAAATCGTTGATTTCACGCAGAAGCAATACTAAGCATGTAGTCAAAGAACTGGTACTTGAAAAAACTCGGGACGGATTAATCATTAATGATTCAAAACTACACGAAAATGGTTTTCGATGAACTGAATGCTGATGAAATGGCTGAAACGTTGTGTGCTGTGCTAAATAATTGGATGGATACAAACGTACCGATTCGTCGGCCTGCTGTTTCTCCTGCGTGGAGCACCGCTTTGCTACGAACATTAAAACGAAAAAGAAATGCTTCGCAACGTAGACTTCGGCGATACCGTTCCCTGGCAAATAAGCGTAGTTTTCACTTGGCGTGTAACGAGTACCGTAATCTAAACTCTTCGCTCTACAAATCGTACGTTTTACGAGTGCAAACTAATTTAAGGCGAAACCCCAAGAGCTTTTGGCCTGCAAGCGTTTTTTTCAATGACGTTGAATCGTCGATAGGCGGGGAGAAATGTGAGCTTTTTGCTGCTCATTTTTCGTCGGTTTTTGCCGCAGAATCCATCACCTCGACTGAACTTGTCTCGGCTGTTTCGGATGTGCCTTCAAACCTTGTTGACATAAACACTTTTGAAATAACGCCCGTTATGGTAACTAATGCCGCCAAGAAAATAAAATGTACCTTCTCGCCTGGACCAGATGGCATTCCTTCTGCAGTATATTGTCGTACCATTGGAGCGCTTGTTGAACCGCTTTGCAGGATCTTCAACAAATCTTTTGTAGAGTCGAAATTTCCTGCAATCTGGAAAGAGTCATTTATGGTTCCGGTACACAAGAAAGGAGATAAACGTGACGTTAAAAACTACAGAGGAATTACTAATCTCTCTGTAGCATCAAAACTGTTTGAGATAATTGTGAGTGGTTTCATTCTTGAGCACACCAAACCTGGACGATCGGTTACCACAAATCTTCTAGATTTTACCACGACATGTTTTGAGCAACTGGAAAATGGGGCACAAATAGACGTCATCTACACTGATCTAAAAGCAGCGTTTGATACGATCAACCATGACATTATGTTGGCAAAGCTATCCAAACTCGGTGCGTCGGACCGTTTGACTTTGTGGTTGTGCTCCTACTTGACTGACAGGTCTCTGCGAGTGAAACTCGATTCCAGTACTTCCTCGTATTTCACGAACTCGTCAGGTGTACCACAGGGTAGCAATCTTGGCCCGTTGCTGTTTGTGTTGTACATCAACGACGCACTTCTTCTACTTGGAGATGGCTGTAAGCTTGCGTATGCCGATGACCTAAAGCTGTACTTCGTGGTGCGGACTGCTGAGGATTGCATTCGTCTTCAATCGGTATTGGATCTATTCGTTGATTGGTGTCGTCGGAATAAGCTTACCCTCAGCATTCCTAAATGTATGGTAATGTCGTATTACCGCATCAGGCAGCCGATTGTTTTTGACTATGCCATCAACGGTGTGGTTCTTCAAAGAACCGACCAGTTCAGCGATCTTGGTGTTCTACTGCACCATAAGTTGACGTTCAACCTCCACCGCTCGGCTCTGATCACAAAGGCGAATCGCCAGCTAGGTTTTATGTCGAAAATATCGAAGGACTTCATTGACCCACACTGTCTGAAAGCTCTCTATTGCTCACTTGTGCGACCAATCCTGGAAAATGCCTCCTTGGTCTGGTTTCCTCATCAGTTTACTTGGAGCTTGAGGATCGAAAGTGTTCAGCGCAAGTTTATCAGGATAGCATTACGTAATCTACCATGGCGTGATCCGCAAAATCTTCCGCCGTATTCTGATCGCTGCAATCTGCTGAGCTTGGATACTCTGGAATGCCGACGGAAAAATCAGCAAGCAGTTTTTGTTGCCAAGCTATTGAATGGTGAGGTCGACTGCTCGAGGCTTCTCTCGCTGTTGGATATCCGAGTACCACCGAGAACATTACGAAGTGGTACCCTTCTCCAACCGCGGTACCATCGAACGGCGTTCGGTTACAACGAACCACTAACAACTATGATGCGTACGTTTACGGCTGTCGAAGAATTTTTCGAATTTGGGGAATCATCATCTCGCTTTTTGGCACGGATTAGAAACACTTGAATTGTTTTAGCTTTAAGGTTGTTTCATGTAGACAATAGTCCGATGAATAAAATTAAATAATAATAATAATAAAAATAAAAATAAAATGTATTCTTCATTATGAGTTATTCCGTTTTTCTCGAAAATGGTTCAACTTGACTCATTGATGCATCATTCTGTTTCGTCGTGTAGATAAAATCTGACGGCGAGGAGCAATGAGCACAAAAAGGAGGTAGCGCAAACCTTTAAATGTTGCTATATTCGTTAACATCGGAAACGCAAATAGTAGAACCTATTTTTTTTTTTTTTGAAGATCGAAAACACCGAAAGGAAAGATTGATTTTTTTTTTATCTTTTCATGAACATGAAATAGTCGGTCCGAAACATCGGAGATTGGGATGAAAAAGACCGATCTTCCAAAGATCGATCCAAGATCGCCCAATCCTAGCTTGAGTGCATTTTCTAACCCCTTCGGATACGGTTGTGTTTTAAGTTTGCTGTCTGTTTTGTGTGTGCGTTCGCTTTCACAGTTTTCGGCTGCATTTGTTTGGTTAACGCTGGCACTCTGCCTCCCGGACGGTTATACGTGTGTGATTGGTGTGATGTTAGAATCAAGAAAGAAAACGTGATTGATCATATTTGCAAGCATCAAAAGATATGTCGTTATCTGCGGTGTTTGATTTTTTTTTCTCCCGGACCAATAATTTGTGGCATCGTGAGAGATAATTTTTAATTTCAGTTTATTTACGTGCTGTAAGGTGCGTGAAAGAGCTCGGCACGGTCAGTGTTGATGTCAGTCCACTCGCAACTATTTTTGCCAAAAATTTAAGAGTTGTCGACTGAAATTGATACCAATAGTATACCACGTGGTGAAATTCGTGTATTCCCGGTTGATTTTCAGAGGCAATTCCGTATTACGAAATTGCTTACCAAGATCATTTTTTTTTGTCGTTCGAGGATGACGGGTTTGCTTTCGCGAGAGTGACGTTTGGATCCGTTTCTTTGCACTTGTGTGTTTTTTGTAAAAAGCGGTGCTTTGTGTGCTTGTGATTTTCATTGCCTCCCGGGAGGCCAGTTCACCGTGTTCGGATGTCACGCTTTCGGCATGTAGTTCTATCGAGAGTCTCGTCACCGTGTGCGTGTTTGAGCACAGTTCGGTTGGTAAATTAGCCAGGAAAAGTGCTGATAATGTGTCCATCGCGAGTTTTGGTGTTGATTCGGTGGCCGACGTTACCTTGAATCAGCGAGTCTACGGCTTGCAAAAGTGCTCGTCTGCTGGTCTCTCGTCAGTGTAGGAGATTGTGAGCCAGCTTAAGGATACCTCGCTGGATACGCCCAACACTGGACGGGGTGTAGCTGGTTGCTGTGGACGGTTCCTGGGGAAAGCACTAGACGCAAACCTCCTCCCAGATGACCATGGCAATGCAAGATAGAGTTTGCGTTGGGAGAAGTGTTGCAACAGGGATAATTGCTGTTAGATGTTTTTTTTTAAACAGTGTCAGATAGCAGACATGAAGCTCAAGTGGAGGTGCCGGGCAAAGGTGTTATATACTACACTCATAAAATAAATCACAGTGGAAAATATCCGTGTGAATTGATCTCATAATTGGAAATTGCACCACTAAATCATCACTTTATGTGTCCAATGAAATCTATATAAAAATCATTATTTTTGTTATTGGAAAAATATTACATGCGTTCCTAATAGAAACTAAGTGAAAACTTTTTTTCAGTGTATTCAAATCGTAAGTAACAAATTCGCTGTTAACGCCGTCGTAGTCATCGCCGTAGTCGCCGTAGGCAGTACCGTTAGTATATTAAAAATTAACCATCAGCCACTGAAATTTAATGAATTATCGCGTTTTTCTGGTGTTCATTACATACCAAGTGAAATTCGAGAACGCAATTTCATTTGAATAGCTTGCTAACCAGGCCTTGAACAATCGTCACGTCGGCATAGCTTGTTATGATTGCCTGAACAATGCGTAAAGAGCAAATCGAAACTTTGAACGTCACGTGAAAGTGGAACTTTATGAAGGTCTAAGAACTCTTTTAGTTTTCGGATTTGAAAGATCGTCGGTTGCAGTTGCTTGCTTACTGAGCAGAAAGACGCAGTCCCAGGTCCTTTTATATTGAAAATGTATGGTAATATCGCTTGTTTATCGTGTAATTTGTAAAACTTTTCGTTGTCGTCGGTCAGGGTTGCTTCCACTCACTTGCTATAAAAAATATTTTTCGGAATTATGCAATCATTAGATGTTATAATGATATGTTGTACATTGTAAGTAACAAGAAGAGGATGTAAAGTATGTGTTTGACTGATAAAACCTGTCAATTCCGCTTTCAGAGCGTCACAATCAGCGATCTTATGATTCGTGAGCGTTCACTCAGAGTGAGCGCTCACGAGTCGGAAAATCGCTGATTGTGACGCACTGGAAGCAATATTGACAGATTTTATGTGTCAAACATATAACTTCATGACCTCTTCTTGTAACTTACAAGCACTAATTAGCATTATACTTTTCCATGATTTCATAATTCCAAAAAACATTTTTTTTATAGCAAGTCAATGGAAGTAACCCTGTCGTCGGTGCCGGGTTTGAACAGTTATACCAACTTGAGTAACGATATAATGTGATATGAGGGGCTCAGTGGCCTGAGAACAACCGTTTTTGCTTACAGCAGAGCAGAGCAAAAAATCATGAGTCTAATCTCAATCAATCGTTTTATTTGTCAACAGGACTACATGATAATAACAGCAACTCGATGAAAAAGGGCTCGTCTGCCTAGTGACAAACGGTTTTGCTTACTGAGCAGAATACCGTGAATTCAATCCCAAGCTCTTTCGCGTTATATGATCGTTAGGATATTCAGCTTATCGTTTACCAAAACGAACACTGCTACATTTCCGTTCCTGGTTCGATGTTGACTCCTTTCTCGCTGGTTGGTGTGGTCGGTTTCATGTCCACCATCTATCACTGAATTGCGATTGTGATCAGGGACGAGGCTCACGTCCAAAGTGTTCGAAAAGATTATGAAAAAAATGCGAAAGGGACTGGACAGTTTCATCAGATTCCCAAACTATCCAAACTCAAGCAAAGTAAAAATATACAAGCTATATTGCGACTATATGGTTACTTGGGTACTCATATGGCCGTCAGAATGGTTCATCGGTTGCGAAGTGAAGTATTTCTGAAAGTGATGCGTTTTATTTCTATTTTATAATTTGATTTTGCCCTAATGTTACCTCAATGTTATGTGCCTTAATGTAATGTGTCATCATGCATTCACAATATTTGCATTAAAAAGTACGATCAGTCGATTTTGTTCTACTCTGGGCACGTAATTTTAATGACTGCTTTCACTTGCCTTAACTTCTCAGAACCACACAAAAAACAATTACGACAGTGCTTCTACAAGCACTTTTAAGTAAATTCACTTTTAAGTAAATTCACTTTTAAAGACGATTTTTACTTAAATAATATCATTCGCATCTTTTAAAACGCGAGCCGCAAATAATTTTGTAACCTGAAATTGTTTTGTTTACAGTTTTTCTACACACCACATTACGAAGGTGTGTGTACGAATCATCTTTCATCGTATCCAGTGTTGTTAATTTAATTGAAACAAAGTGTTTAAAAACAATGTTTTTATTGCTTTTGAAGGTGCTCTAACTCAGTTCAATTTAGAAACCATCACTTATAAAAATTAAAGACAATTTCTTGTTTTGTTTTTCCAGAAAAGAAATGGAAGTAAATAAACCTACAAATCTTCTCTAGAAAACATATTTGTCATTCTGGTTGCGTTGGTCGAAACCATCAGCTGATATTAAAAACTACAAGGGACAGCTCTACACACTTAATCTAGTTCGGTAAAATCTCCAACAGCCGATTACCTCGGCATTTACTTTTGCTGATATCTCTGCAAAATATCTATTTGTTAACTGATATCTCAGCAAATAGTTATTTGTTAGCTGAGTCTCGGCAATTGTTTTACTGAAACTCAGCAACATAAATTGCAGAACTGCTCGGCTGTTGGAATCTTGGCGAAAATTTTTAAGTATGTATGGGGTTGTACGCAATGGTGACGTAAGACTACGTGGTCTTATATAATAAATCTTATTTGTTAACTGCAGCAGGAGCTTGTGTTTTGTGTAGGATTAGGAATTTGAGCATGGTTCTCTCTGTTTATACTCTTTAGTATGATGCACTTGAAATAGATGGCCCACATTAACTCACGAATAGCTACTGATTCCGATCAATAGCGGAGCGGCTTCTTCCTCCTTCTATGGATGCTTGTGTGGGCAGCCGCTCGCTGCTTGCAGGCAGCCTTTCGTTGTGTACTGGAGAACACCACCACTCACCACGTGGTGATTGAATAAACACCGTTCGATGAGACCGAATGAAATTCAACTTTGAAGTCTGTGTTAGGGAAATGGCTTTTCGCAGGCAATCGATGATAATTTTAAATATCATAGCAACAGTAGCACATTCATGCATTTTTCAACAGTGACATTTTTTAAAAATTCTAAAGTTTTAAATTGAACAGAAGCGTAGGAATATTTCTGATCGATTGGTGCTAAAATTAATAAAATTGGTCTAGTAAATTGGTTGAGTACAATCACGATGAGTATATTCACCTACTCTTGGGTATAATACACTTACTTTACCGCTCGTGGCGAATGCTGTTGGAAGCATTAAGATAACTAATTATGCTGTTTTTTTCACCCACAGTCGCATCCACCATGTACGATCCGGTGCAGGGCTGGACGGACAACCTGTACGGTTTGAATGGGGTTATCGTCGGAGCCGGTTGCGGAATTCTACGTGTGCTGCACTCCGTCGATGAGTTGAGAAGTGACGTTATTCCGGCGGATTTCGTCATCAATGGAACGCTAGTGGCAGGCCATCGAGCAGCCGAGAGCTACAGGGTCGAGCCACCTTCGACAGATCCGGACAAAGTTCACATCTACCACCTGGCCAGTGGAACCGATAATCCTCTGACGAACAGGGAGGTTCAAGATTTGACCAAATCCATTGGCACGGAATATCATCCATTGAAGTCTCTTTGGGTGGCATCGTATGTGAGCACTAGATTCAAGACGGCCGCATGGATTTTAACCATTTTGCTGCACTTCTTCCCGGGAGTGATCATAGATGCCGTGCAGAGATTTAGAGGGAAGAAGTCAATGTGCGTTTAGTAGGCTAATTCTATAATGTAAACAAAATCTTCAATTCGATTGCTCTTCTAGGTTGATGAAAATCTACAGGAAAGTGCGAAAATTTACTGACTTCATAGATTTCTTCATGTGTCAACAGTTTACATTCGTCAATGACAAGATGCGTGGTGTTTTCGATCAGATGACTCCGGGCGATAGGGAGTTGTTCCAGTGTGATATGAGGACGATCACCTGGCAGGACTACTTCAACATCTACTATCCAGGCCTGAAGCTGTACATGTTGAATGAGCCTCCAGACACCTGGATAGCGGCCAAGGAGCGTTACGATCGTTTGTGCAACATTACTATGTATACCTTCTATGCTCTGGTAATAACCTGTGTTTACTGTTGTGTTCTGAAGTTGGCTTTCGTCATATACCATCTCATATCCCAATGGATATAAATAAATTCGTTTAAACGATGTCAATCAATATAGCATAACTAAAAAAACAATCACGCTGCACTCATTTGTAAGGTTTCTGCCACACAGCAATGCTGTGCCCGGCAGGCGTTCATCTTCATCAGTGCAAAATATCACCAGACCACACCAAATCTGCAACGAATTCGACATTCCCCTGCTGCTGCGGCTCAATGCAGCATCTACCGCACCGAAAACTCGGCTTCATTCGGACCGGACCGGAGGGCATGCACTGAAAATACCTCCGTCGCCGCAGAAGGTAGGTACGACCGTCCCCGTTATGGACGCTGCTGTCCAATCTTGCGGTCGGTCCTCGGTATGTGTCCCTTCTCTATGTGTCACTTGGCGGACATTAATGACTCTTCGGTGTCTGCAATCATCGATCCGGGTTGCTCTCGCTCACTCCGTATCGTACGGTGACGGGGATTTGCTTCCTTCCGTTTGCTCGTTCTCCACGTGTCCGGTTGACAGGTGATGATTTATCGTTTCGGTTGAAATAAATGGAGGAATAAAAATCCTCGGAATGACTGCAATTTCCAACTTTTCTCCAGTCGATGGTTGCCGGGTATGCCTTTGTCGGAAGGGAATCTGAAACCTGGATTATTATTCCTTGGGCCGGGGGTGATATATATCATAAAATTTGTTCAACACTAACCAGCAGCGGCAGTATGGGGATCCGGGTGCCTTGCGCTGGCATGTGGCCAACCCAAAACGAACCGGATGGTGGAAAAGAACGATTGTGTTGGGTGTTGGGTTTGAAACAAAAAGCTGAAGTAGAAAAAAATATACTAACGAAAGGATGAAAGGGCTGCAGCTGGAAAGTCGAGATTGTTTCCTATTAGTTTGACAACAAGAGGAGACAAGGACAATTTCCGGTAGTAGTTCCATGAGCTGTCGGATTCCGAAGAACAATGGATACAACCCATTACTAGGGCGATAATTGGGCTTTGGATCTAAGTTGGCCCGTTACTACGTGATGATGAACGGATCAGGGGAACGATGGAAGAGTGAATCATTACTTTAGATTGGAGCAAATTTTTCATGCTATTGAGTGGGTGGATTCACGTTGGTTTGAGTGTTTCAGCAGAAGCTTTGAAGTTATGTGCTAGTATGAGTTGCTAGTTTTTGTTTTTGTTTTTTTTTTTGAGAAATTCAATAAATTATGGTGCATTTGTTTATCATGCAGGTTAAACCCAGTTCCAAGCTGTGCTGTATAGAAATTTCTGTAAGTGCAAACGTCAACCTAACTCAGGTTACAAAAGCAATCGATTGAACTGATGATAATCAGAATACCTGCAAACCCCTCAAGTAACAGAAGATTTCTAGATAGAGCTGGAATTAGGACGTAACAACCCTTGAAATCAATTACTTATCTCGATGATTTCTAGGAATTCAAGGCACGCCCACGCAAACCAACATAGCCATTGGGTATGGAAAGTCTTCCGCTATCCGATGGTGATGTTGTTTTGCGTCGTGGAGGCTTGACTTTCTAGAAATCATAGAGAGAAGTCATTGTTTACAAAAGCTGTTACGAACTAATTGCAGGTATATCTAGATTTATCATTGTTTTAACCAAACATCTTTTGAAGTCTGTGTTTTTGTAATACTTGTATGTGGTCGACAATAATAGCGGTTAGCATCATCGAGGATTATACGTCATTCTCGTATTATCCTTTTTTTTTTGCTAAGCACTATGCCATATTTCCTTAATTTAATTCTCGGATTCCAAATCCAAAATTTTCAAAGAGTACGCAGCCAAAAAAAAACTTGCACTCACACATTTGCATAAGCAAAATCGTTGTCGTTTTGTTTGTTTACCGTTTGATATCGGATCGTCCAATGCAGCTCCATGGGGAAACGGGAAGAACCTTTTTTTTTTTTAACTCTTTATTTGTTCCAAATTCAAAATAAATCACATTTCATTTTTAACCTAGGTGCTCCAGTTACTGCAGTAACGTACCAGCCTTAATTGTTATGATATATATCTGTGTTTTTACATTGTTCATGTCTTGGCAATTAAGTATTTTAAACAGGTTTTTAACCTGCATGTCAGTATAACAATTGATATCTTAAAACTAAAAACTAAAACTAAATCTTATCTAAGTATAAAGGGAATTAATCGTTGCAATTGAGGATTGCAACGATTTTTGCCTGAAATTATTAATTATTTTGTTGGACATTTGTGCTAAAGTCTCAACATTCGAAATTCTATGTACTTCGGTTGTACTGTACCAGGGAGGCAACTTCAAAATCATTTTCAGAATTTTGTTCTGAATCCTTTGAAGTGCTTTTTTCCTGGTAGTGCAACAACTAGACCATATTGGCACAGCGTAAAGCATGGCCGGTCTAAAAACTTGTTTAAATATTAGAAGTTTATTCGTCAGGCAAAGTTTGGATTTCCTGTTTATAAGAGGATACAAACATTTAATATATTTGTTACATTTAGCTTGAATGCCCTCAATGTGATCTTTAAAAGTTAATTTTTGGTCAAGTATTAATCCAAGATATTTCACTTGGTTTGACCAGGAAATTGGAACTCCGTTCATAGTGACTATTTGACTACTACTAGGTTTCAAAAACGAAGCTCTAGGCTTTTGTGGAAATATTATAAGTTGAGTTTTGGAAGCGTTGGGAGAAATCTTCCATTTTTGTAAATAGGAAGAGAAAATATCTAAATTTTTCTGCAGTCTGCTGCAAATAACAAGAAGACTTCTTCCTTTGGCGGAAATGCCTGTGTCATCAGCGAACAAAGATTTGTGGCAACCCTGAGGCAAATTAGGGAGGTCCGAAGTGAAAATGTTATACAATATAGGCCCAAGAATGCTACCCTGAGGAACTCCTGCTCTAACAGGTAGTCGATTAGATTTGGAATTTTGATAATTTACCTGCAGAGTTCTGTCAGTTAAATAATTTTGAACTAATTTCATAATGTAAAGTGGAAAATTAAACTTTTTCAATTTAGCAATCAAACCTTCATGCCAAACACTGTCGAATGCTTTTTCTATGTCTAGAAGAGCAACTCCAGTTGAGTGGCCTTCAGATTTGTTTGAACGAATTAAATTGGTAACTCTTAAGAGTTGATGAGTAGTTGAATGCCCGTGGCGAAATCCAAACTGATCATCTGCAAAAATTGAGTTCGTGTTGATGTGAAGCATCATTCTATTCAAAATTATCTTTTCAAAAAATTTACTTATTTAAGAAAGCAAACTTATTGGACGGTAGCTAGAAGCTTCAGCTGGATTTTTATCCGGCTTCAAAATTTGAACAACTTTTGCATTTTTCCATTTATCAGGAAAGTATGCCAAATGGAAACATCTGTTAAATAATTTTACCAAGAAAGACAAGGTACTCTCTGGGAGTTTTTTGATGAGGATATAGAAAATTCCATCATCACCTGGAGCTTTCATATTTTGAAAATTTTTAGTTATAGACCTTACTTCGTCCAAATCAGTCCCCCAGGAATCATCAAAAATATTTTCCCGAGAAAGACCCAAACTTAAATTATGGGAACTCTCGAATTGCTTAGCAAGTTTCTGAGCTTTTTCCAAATTTGTGATCAAAATTTTACCACCTTCTTTAAGCGCTGGAATAGGCTTTTGAGGTTTTTTCAAAATTTTTGTGAGTTTCCAAAAGGGTTTGGAACTCGGGTCTAATTAAGAAATATTATTTTCAAAAGTTTTGTTCCTCAGGGCAGAGAATCGCTTTTTAATTTGTTTTTGCAAATCCCGCCAGATAACCTTCATGGCAGGATCGCGTGTTCTTTGATATTGTCTCCTACGGACATTTTTTAAGACGGATCAAGAGCTGAAGATCGTCGTCTATTATAATTGAATCGAATTTAACCTCGCATTTTGGTACTGAGGCAGAGATTCAAGAGCATAATTAATTTCATCTTTGGTTTGCAAAGGAATGTTTGGATCGAAGTTATATTCCATAAATGTTCGATACTGCTCCCAATCAGCTCTATGGTAATTGAAAGTAGAGCTGTTGGGATTACAAATTATTTCTTGGGATATTTCAAAAGTTACTGGAAGGTGATCAGAACCGAAGTCAGCATGGGTAACCAGTTGGCTACAAAGTTGACATGAATCAGTTAAGATCAAATCAATAGTTGAGGGATTTCTCGCAGAAGAAAAGCATGTTGGGCTGTTTGGATATTGAATAGTGTAATAACCTGCAGAACAATCATCAAACAGAATATTACCATTGGAATTGCTTTGAGCATTATTCCATGAGCGGTGTTTTGCATTAAAATCACCAATAATGAAGAATTTAGACCTATGACGGGTAAGTTTCTGGAGGTCACCCTTGAGAAAATTCTTTTTCTGGCCTACGCATTGAAATGGCAAATTAGCTGCCTAAACGTAAGTTGTCCAAATTTTGTTTCAACAGAAACTCCCAAAGTTTCAAAAACTTTGGTTTCAAATGAAGAAAGAATTTTATGTTTGATTCGTCTATGAATAATGATGGCAACGCCACCACAGGGTCTATCAAGACGATCATTTCTATAAATTAAGTAATTTGCGTCCTTCTTAACCTTATGGTCAGGTTTAAGGAACGTTTCAGTTATAACGGCAATATGCACGTTATGAACTCTCAAAAAGTTAAATAGCTCGTCTTCATTATCTTTAAGAGATCGAGCATTCCAATTTACAATATTTAATGCTTTAAAATCCATTACTGAATTTTAAAGTCATGACAATATTATTTGCAAATTTTACTCCAGTTTGAATAGCATCAAACATGGAGTTAGATTTAAGCATATCAGAAATCATGTCAATTAATGCATTCTGTAAAAATTCCATTTTAGGGGCAGTAATGCTTCCTAAGTCAAAATTGTCAAAATTTCCGTTAGTATTACTTTGGTTTGTATTTTGATTTCTACCCGCTGCAATAGCAGCATAGGTAGCTCCATTAACTCGCTGAACATTGTTAGCAGCGAGGGGAATAGGTACAGATGAAAAATTTGAAGCAGGGGTGATATTTGTACCTACGGGTACG